GATAAAGCACTATGGTACTGCTCGTTAGACATGGCCAGCGGTTTCTGGGTCGTGCCCATGACGGATCGGGCTCGCGAGATCTCACCATTCATCACTCCGTTTGGACTATTCGAATGGAGTCGCATGCCTTTTGGTCTTAAGAATGCCCCGCAGATTTATCAGCGCCTTGTAGACAACGCGTTGTATGGATTCTTGAAGATCTCACGATCCGGCGACGCTGGGGCTACAACGGACGGGTTCCAGACCGGGATCGCGGACGATCCTGGTCGCGAGTCGGTGTTGGGTCGGAAATCATACACCGACGACATCATGATCGCAGCGAAATCATGGGATCAACTGTGCCGAAGAGTGGAGAATCTGTTGGGTGATATCTGAAATTTATCGATCAGTGTTACCAAGAGCTTCTGGGGTATGAATAAAGTAGGATATCTGGGACACCGGGTCTCGATCGAAGGTGTAGAGGCGAATCCGAAGGATCTGAAATCTCTGACCGATCTGCCATTCCCCGGATCGCTTCGATCCATGCAGTCGTTCCTGGGGAGTCTGAACTATTACAGCCGATTTATTGAGGACTACGCTATATACGCCTTAGTTCTATATGAGCTACGCGAGGTGGAATTTGCAGAACTGGAGAAACGATCGGATCTGAGGGAGATCTTGGACCGGAATGACCCGATCCCTCGAGATCATGACCCACCGGAACGGAAGTTGACGGGACCATTGGACGAGAGGTGGATCAGGGCACATAGGGCCTTCATTGTCCTGAAAACCAAGATCGCGACGACCCCAGTCCTCCGCCACTTCGACGAGACGAGAACGCCGGTAGTTATCATATACGCTAGTGATTGGGCGATATCCGCTTCGTTGACGCAAGAACACGACGGGATCTATCATCCGGTGGCGTTCGCCAGTCGCACCTTGAAGACGAACGAGTTGAATTACAATGTGACTGAGAAGGAGGTGTTAGCACTGCTGAGGATCTTGGATCTCTATTACAATCTGCTAGTAGGACGCGAGATCCGGGTCCTGACGAGGCATTCCACGTTGGCCTTGCTGTTCAAGTCGACGGGGCTACAGGGTCGCCTGGGCAATGGTCTGCCCTTCTGGCCCCTTGGAAACTCGAGATCACGAAGTGCACGAAGGGCGAGGATGAGATACTGGGAGCGATCGCCGCTAGCATCACGCCGAGAACGACGCTCTGACCGAAATCGCTCACCGAAAAGAGCCTAAACGCCGGATCTAGGCACCGATACCCACGGTAGATCGAGACGAGAAATTATGGGTGATCAACTTGACGGATCCGCCCGAGTTAAGTGCGGTGGGGGAGCGTTCAGTGCGATCGTGTGGAGTCTGCCCGGATGGGAGGTGGTCAAGGCCAGATCAGGCTATCTCGAGAGCCTCACCGTGAACGAAGCCGAATATAACGGCCTGATCCTGGAGCTCGACATGCTGGAGAGCTTAGATCGCAGACGTCTGGTGGTCTGCGGGGATTCTAACCTGGTGATCGGACAAGTACAAGGTGAGATCGACTGCAAAGCACCCGGACTGACGCTATTGAAACGGAAAGCCCTCGATCGCTTGAGGAAATGGAGTGATCATGAGCTGGTTCACGTCAAGAGATACTGGAACGGAAGTGCCGACAGTCTAGCAAGCACCGCTTTGCAACGACAAAGGGGGATCGAGGTCCAGGAGGGCCCCGGGTACCAGGATCTGGTTACCCTGAACCGGTTAGGCGAAATCCTGATCCCCAAAACCGAGAATCCGGTGGTACGAGTTGCCGCGGTGACCACTCGAGCTGGTCGATCGAGATCACCGGCGGGTGTCATGGAAGAGGATCTGATCCGGGAAATCCGAGTAGATCACGCAGGCCCAAGAGGAAGAAGTCTGGATCGCCGGCATGAAGAAGTATCTGAGTGGCTCAATCGCAGATCTCACACAAGCGGAAGCAAGATCGTATGGCAAGATCTCGGCCGACTATGAGGTAGACGAGCAGGATTTACTATTTTACTGCCCCCCCACGCCAAGATCGGGAGACGATCGCGACCGATT